TTTATAATATTCAGTATCTTCCTTATCTCTAATTTCCAGTGTCAATCTATTCATTTCTGCACAGTCTAATATCTTCCTTATTATATCTTCATCATTTGGTATCTTTTCCCTTTTCCAGTTCTGAGCAAATACAATTCTAGCTGCAGTCAAAACATGAATAATCAAATACATATCTTCTTTACTATAATTTTCTGGTATCATTCCTAATAGGAATATCTCTGGCTTCATTTCTATATATTGAAGTATCATTCTTTCTAACCATTCACGTATGAATATTTTGATTACAGAGTTGGCCTTAGCATGGGATTACGCTTGATGGCATATAGAGCGTTCTTTAAGAATGGCTGAGGGTGAAATGGACACCCACAGATGCCATCACAAGAAATTCTGTTTGAATCTCATTACATTAAATACAGGTAGACCTCAACTTACAACCATTCGTTTAACAACCGTTCAAAGTTATGACAGTGCTGAAAAAAGTGACTTATGACTGGTCCTCGCACTTACAACCATCACAGCATCCCCATGGTCATGTGATCAAAATTTGAGTGCTTGGCAACTGGCATGTATTTATGATGGTTGCAGCATCCTGGGGTCACATGTTTGCCATTTGCAACCTTCCCAGGGGCTTCCAATAAGCAAAGTCAATGGGGGAAGCCAGATTCGCTTAATGGCCATGGCAAAAAATGTAAAATCGAGCATAACTCACTTAATGTCTGCATCACTTAGTGACGGAAATGCCAGTTCCAATTGTGGTCGTAAATTGAGGACTACCCGTAGGAGCTTTCCTTTTTAACAAGGCATCTGCGGAAGGATTTTTCCATGGGTAGGACTCCATTCTGATTAGTGGCATGGAAAGAGGCCTTTTTATTTTCCATCAGCTATTCTGAACTGAAAATATATGGGCCAAAATTGCCTAATTTCTGGAGGGGACCTGGAAGAAAAAGAAAAAAGCTAGTATAAAACACTAATTTGAGGGTATGTAGCCTCAGAATCAAATCAGAGATAGGAAGGCACCTCCAGATGTTGCTAAATTACAACTCCCAACATTCTTTTCCATCAGCCATGCTGGGAGTTGTAGCTTAGAAACATAGAAAGGCCTCCGGTTCCCTCATCTGGTACTATCATTCTCTGATCTGATTATCCTCTTAAGTGTTAACATCGGTCACTTAAGTTCCTAGGATCAACCAAGAGACGTGAAACATAAAAGTAAATTCCTATTGTTCAATGTTTCTTCAAGAAGCTGCACTAGTGTTGACTAGTACCCCAAATGGTCAAGCAAAACTATCCCTCTCCATGTGCTTGGCCTTAGGAGACACAGGTTGAGAATATATAAAGTTGGAGGCCATACAGAATTGAAGTTATGAATGTTTTAAGTGTGTGTGTGTCACTGCAAGTGAGAGTACTTAGCTAAGTGTGGCTGAGCTTGAAAAAGCTACACAGGGTTGAACTTGGGTAGTGCTTAGATGAGAGACCACCATGAAATTTTGGACATTAGACAGAAAAGCAGAAATAATTAAACAAATCTAAAGAGGCAGCGGCTCTGTACTGTTGCCAAGATAGATGTGTTTCTAAAGTTAGGAGCTGAATTCAGCTTAATGGAGACTTGGCCTTAAATATATGTGATTTTCCTTCCATATCAAGCAACCAGAATCAGGGTGCATAATCAAAGGTTAGAATTAATTACTTTCAATTTGAAAGCTGTAGGAAAGCTTCAACCTTCTGAGACATGATAGTTGGATTTACAGTCATATATGTAGGTAATGTGGGGATTCTAAGCAAGTCTGTTGCTTTGTAAGTAAGGAACTGGGAGTTTAATCTAGACTAAAAGGTTGTGACTCTTCAGAAATTAAAGCACAATTTTTATTCCCACCATCCTTCCCTGTAAAGCATTCTGTACCTGGTCGTTGCACCAATACCAGATGGAGTTGATGGAAAGACCAAGAATGACAGCTGGCCAGGGCAGATCACTAGTGGTGGCATCTCTGATCATGTGGAACGAGTCTTCACGGGGCAGGTAGCAGGAAGATGAGATGTTGTAGAGGGCAGGGCTGGGTGAAAGTGTCCGTGTGGGAAGAGCCTCCATATATTTGTCAAATAAGCCTTGATAACCTCCGACTTCACTGAAGGCTGTATGGGAACAGTCACGGGTCACATTAGACTGAATACTGCATTTCCATTCAGATGTTTACATGCTACATTACTCCTACTCCTTCCCAGTTTGGAGATCTCTTCCCTCCCTCTGACTTTTCCCTGTACAATGAAATTGCAAACCAAGATTGTAGGCTTTTTTGTTATGGTTTTTGGAAATCTAAATCTTGCTTTGGATTGACAGGATCTGTTGAACATGTTTAGCTAATGAATATGTAATTGCTAAAATGGCAGCGGCCAGATCGTCTTTACAGGAGCAAAATTAATAGACTTATACAATTATGTTCATCACAAGGATTATAGTGAATGAGGGTGAGTTCTTATTGGTTCAAATCATGCCTCTTTTAAAAAAAGAACATAAACACAGCATAAAAGGTAGCTGAATCTGTGGAAACGGCATTATTCTTCTGCCCTTAAAAAAAGGGGAGGGGATTTCTTTTATGTGGATTCCCCTCACCCCTGCCCCGAAGTGACAAAAATGCCAGAGTATCACAAAGGGCTGATGTAGTGCGAACTCCCTCTACAAAAAACCAGTGAGCAGAATTATGTGATTCTGGGTCAAATGGCTAATGCAAAAAGCAACTTTGGTGCCACTTTCTCCTGGACTCTTTGGGAACCATCAATTATTTCTTTGTTCTGCTATGAGTTGAAATTCCTTCAGAAGACTTAAAAGAAGGAGGCTCTTACTCTTCCTGTTTTCTTTATGGGATTTGAGGCTGAGCGGCTTCCATTCCAATATTTTGAACAACACAAGGATGTATCTCAAAGTGCTAATTATTCTAACCTTGGCTCAAAAAGTTAGAGTTGGATTTTTAGCAGAATATTTGCTTCTACTATTGACATGCTTGATTTTATATTATAGACATTATATATCAGAATGGATCAGGACTTCAATTTAGCCTATGCCTATTTTCATCATGCTTTCCTGTGTTTTAGGCTACTGGAACCCACTTCCTGCAGTTTGAGCAGACAGAAGAAACCAAACATTTTATCTTAGGCCGGAAGTGTCCTACTCACCAAACCCCATGAGGACAAAAGCGCCTCCAATCATGACAAAAGTCTGGACTGTGTCGGTGTACATCAGGGCTGCCAATCCTCCTGAAAGAGAGATGGAACGAGAGTCACGCGCAAATATAATGATGCTTTGGTCCTTCATCCACCTGGCGCTGTGTTATCTGCACCGGGTTTAGGCAATCAAGCACCTTTTAAAAGTTATTCTGCAGCTCCTGTAAAGCTCAGCTCACCTGGGGAAGGATGATGGGAGCTGTAGGCCAACGCATTTTGAGGGCACTACTTGGCCTATGTTGGGCTTTCTTTCAGATCCTAAGTTGACCTCCTCTACTTTGCACACTGATCTATTTATGGTACTAAGGTATGCAGAGACAGCAACTTTTTTTTTATAATAGCTTTATTAAGTTTTAAAAAGTAGAAAGATAAAAACAAACACAAACTAATAATCAAGAAAAAGAGTAGAGAGAAAGAAAGCTAGAGGTAAAGAAAGAAAACGAAAAATGGAAAAAGAAAAGGAGAAAAACAGAAATACAAAAAGAATGACTTCCGACTTCTTATACAGCAGAGATAAATGAAACATAAAATAACCTCTTACTCTAAAGCTATATCTTAACATACAGTTTTTGCATAATCTATTAATTTTACTAATCATCCACTCCATACAACATAATTTCATTTTTTTCCCGGTTTCTCACAGAAAGTCCAAAAGGGGCTTCCAATCAGCATTACAGTTAGTCAATGTTTTTTCTCTAATCAAAGCTGTCAGTTTTGACAGGCAGCGACTTTTTAGGATTTCTGAAGAATGTCTTCCCCACATTAGCTGGAAGTGCCAAGCACTGAACACAGGCTCTTTTGTCTGCAAAGTCTGCCCTTTGCTACTCAGCTACAGTCCTCCCTCCCTTCCTTGATGCTCTAGATTGGTGTTTCTCCACCTCAGCAACTTTAAGATGGGTGGCCTTCAACTCCCAGAATCCCCCAACCAGTATGCTGTATTCGACTATCAGAATTAGATGCGAGAGGAGACTGTGAGACTTGCTTTGACTGTTGGAGCTAGTAGAAAATTTTGTTGTTGTCCTGCACAAGTCCTGCTGTTGTCCCACTTGCCTTTGTTTTTGGGTTTTCTGGGTAACCAATCATATTCTTACACACCTGTAGTTCCTTGTTTAGTTTTAAAAACAGCCTATTGTCTTTGTGTCGGGGTCTTGCCCTGGAATGTTGCTGATCCTGTCCATGGGTGCTTGGCCTGGCTTTGCAAACCCATCATTAGGTGTTTGGCAACTCTGATGTCCTGCTTGAGTAGACCAAACAAAGCTCATCTCGAGAAGGGAGCGAAGACTTGTAAGTTGAAACGTTTCCCCTTATATTTATTTCAGTCACAGATCACACATCTTGGGATGCTCAGTTAACCAAGACCCATTTTGGCCTCCTTTGTGGGACTGGTTAGCGGCCTTACAGACAGGGAGATCTGAAAGCAGCTTAGGACAGATTGGCAGGAAGCAGCAAAAACTCGGTGAACCTTTAGCACACCACTCTCTTTTGCTTGATCACTATTCTTCCCTATTGTGAATTATGTTCAGGTTTTTATACATTGGGCTTTATATGTGTGAATCCTTGTTAATTAGTCAGATATCTTGGCCATAGGTGTGACAGGTTACCCGATTGAACAAGAGGCATGTGGGTTCTTTAAGAGATTCCCAGCAATTGCATCTTTCCTGCCTGTATATGTGTGTTTTAAGAAGACAGGCAATGCCATGGGGAAAAATTCATCCTGCAAACAATTCTTCCAGATTTCTGGCCTGATTATTTCTTGGCAGCTGCATGGTTCTTTGAATAAGATTTTCAGTTTTAGTTGGCTGATAGCGTGTGTGCATACGTGTGTGCGAGAGAGTGCTGGGTTGCTGGGCTTCTGTCTTGCTGTTTATGCATCCAAAATGTTAGCATCCATCTGAAAGAGGAACTGTAGCTCCTTGGACAGATGTATGTTTGGCAAAAGGTTGCCTGTGAGGTGAGGAGAAGATAGGACGGCAGGTAATATTCTAAACGAAGGCCTGGCTCGCTGGATGTCAGGATAAATAGGATTATTCCGCACTGCTACACTTGTTGCCTTGCCTTGAATAAATTAATAAATGATAGAAAAAACTCTCTTCTTATTGCATCGTGGTTTTTTTACGTGTGCTAGGCCCTGTACAGAAATGTCACTCCCCTTTATCCGTGCCAGTTTCTGACCCAGCCTCGGTACCTTTTCAGCTCTGCCAGAACCACCCATGGTCCTGGGTCATTAAAATCAGGAGTTATGATGCACATAAAAAGGGGCGGAGCTTCAATCACAGGGGTATGGCTGCCCTCTTGACTTTTTTGACCCTCCCCTTGTAGACACCCCTGCATCCTTCTGATTAGCAAGTGATTGTTCCCCCTGTATTTACTTCCACGTTTTACCTGCTGCCTAAAAGGCTGTAATTATGGCTCATGTACAAGAAAATCAGGACAGATGATTTTCTTTCTTTTTGGCTTGCCATTTGGAACATACCCCCTCCCCCAGCTGAACTCTATCCCCTTGCCCAGGAATTTCAGCTTCCTGTTGGGTACCCCGTCCATTCCTGGCCCCAGAACCCAGTTACCTGTCGCGGTATAAATGGTGGTTATGGTCAGAAGTGCTATGACAGCTAGATAAATATTCCAGCCCAAGGCTTGCTGGATGAACACAGCACCAGAAAACATGTCCACCTGCAGGAGGGAGAAGCAGAAACACCCCCAGGATCATGCACAGATTAGCCAGAATTTAAAAGCAACGAGAACGTTTATACTACCCTTCCTAAAAAGGCGAAAGGAGGAGATTTGTATTTCCAAATATTCCCCCTGCCCCGTCACCGTGTCCCAGATGCTTGGAGAATTGACCTACTGATATCTTGGTGAAGATATACATAAAAAGAGAGAGGATGGAGAGGTAGAGACGGATTCGCTGGCCTCCAAAACGCTTCTTCAGGTACTGGGGCATTGTGATGACCTGCACAGGGGAAGAAGCAGAGGACATGTAATTTTTCTTTGCGCAGCATCAGAAGATCCCCAAAGGGCCAGCGTGCTTAACCCACAACTCAAGTGTCACACAAGACTTACAGAGCACAGTAAGATCTGACAGGGTTGGCATATTCAGCTTGGCACGCTCTGGGTCACATGACTGTGGCTGCCATCTTGACTTTTTTGACCCCCCATGGATTCCCTGCAGCTTCTGGCTTTTCCCTGCTTTCATCCCTTCCAAATCCTATTTTCCCTCCTTATGTAGTACAAGCAAGTGATTTCCTCCCCAGCTTTTGGACTACAACTCCCCACATCCCTTGGTATTGCCCATGCTGGCTGATGCTAACAGGAACTGAAGTCCAAAACATCTGGATGGATCCTGTTTGGGTGAGATTAAGAGTCAGGAGGAGACTGGCATTCAGCAAGCTCACTCTGAAACTTTGGCTGAACTGTTTCTCTCAGCTGAACCTACCTCGCAAGGTTGATGTGAGGAAAAGTAGGGAGGGGTGGAGAGAACGGTGTAGCTGCCCTGAATTATTTGGAGAGATTAAAAAAGCCATAGACAAACAAACAAACAAACAAACAAACATGTGGTTGAGAGGAGAAATCACTACCTCAGCAGAGAGGTAAACTGGAACAAACAGCCATCCAAGGAGGAGAACAATAAATATAGCCTAGGAAGAAAGAAAAAAATGGAGTGAGAACTAGGATAAGTCAAGCTGCCATCTTTTTCCTTTCCCCCCAAATCCTCCTCAGAGCTCCCAGACGATTAATTTGTGGCTTGTGACAGGCAGAAATGAAACAGGTGAAGCTTTCTCCAGCATTGCATTGTCAATTCCTTCCGATTATCTTGGAAAATGACAAAATAAAAATTGCTTCCACAGCAGCAGGGCTGAGGGCAGGGAGGGCGTCAAAAAAGGCAAGATGGTGTTCATAACCGTGCGATCGAAACCCTGCCTCTTCATTAAAAAGGGGCAGGGCTTTGATCACACAGTTGTGGGCGCCATCTTGCCTTTTTTGACCTCCACCCTGCAGATACCCCTGCAGCGCAGCCTTTTATCTCGGCGGGTGGGGAGGAACTCAGGCACTAATCAAGCTGCTCTGGTGCTTTGTGGCCCCAGTTTCTTCTCAGCAAATGGGGGGGGGTCTTGCTCTGCCCCCTTGCTGGGATTCCCCAGGGGAAACCCCCAACCTTGCCCACCCACTACTTACATTCCACTCAAATCCTGCCACGGCCAGGCCATTCGCTGCCCCAGTGCCTGCCAATCCCACAAAATGCCCGCTGCCGATGTTGCTGGCAAAGAGAGAGGCGCCAATCTGTGGGCACAACCGCCAAAATTAAACACACACACAGACACACAGCATTTTGACTTTCCAAATCCACCGGGCCCGGGTTAGGTCTTGTCTCCCAATTCATCCAGAATCTGAGGCCGCTTTTCTTTCTTTCCTACCCTTGTTGCACCATCACTGGGACCTTGGGGGTCATCTAGTCCAACCCTGCCCAGGCCAGGAATCCTCATATCATCCCGGACAGGCCGTTTCACCTCTCTCTCTCTCCTTCCCCATGACCCACTTATCCTTCTTCCTCCTATAACATGACTTTGCTGCATCCCCTTTTCCACCATCTCGTGGCCTCCCCTCCGTCCCACCCCTCAATTGGTTTGGGGCCTCTCCCCCAACTCCCCTCTCTGGTTTGGTCACTCACCGGCCACCACACCATATTCCTTCCGGCCAAGAAGTAGCCCCCCACCGTCCCCCGATTGATCCGGCTCATGGACTGCAAACCCCAAGAGAAAGAGAAAGGAAAGATAGGGTGAGGATTTGTGGTCTGAGTCCCGCAACACATCCTACCCTGGTTGGCTTAACCATGGTGTGTGGAATCAACCGCAATGATCTGGGTTTCCTGGGTCATGATGCCCTGGGCAGCCCTGCTTTTCTCTTCTGTGGCCCTTGGAGCCCCCTCTCACCAGGACTGAGAGTCAGCATTTGGAGGCAGGGAACCCGTGAAAATGATCATTTGAGCTCTATAATAGGGGTATCGCAATTAAGAAAGCAAAGTCACGTCCCCACATTGTCCCCCAACCCCAACCCCAGCCCTGTCCACTGCTGTGAGGTGTCCCTCCAGGTTGAAGCTCCTTGCAGGTTGCCCACTCCTTCTTCCACTGTTTACAGTGGGTGGGTTGCCAACCCTCTAAATCAGTGTTTCTCAACCTTTGCCATTGCAAGATGCGTGGAGGTGGGTCTTGCTGTGGAGCCCCGTGCTGAGGAAATTCAACATCAGGGAACTTGGGAACGTGCCTTCGTGGTGATGGTCTCTGTCCTCTGGAATAGTTTTCCTTCCTATTGATATTTTGGAGGGCCAGGAAGACCTGGCTCTTTAGGAGGGCCTGCTGCAGTGAATAAAGAGGATGGCCTGGAAGGACAGAGGGAAGATCTGCCACCAAAGCAACCGTCAGATAAATGAAACTTGAGCCCAGGCCAAGAATGCAATTTGCGAAAACACCTCAGACAGCCCCCCCCCCAATTTTCATGAAGATAAAAAAGGGAAGAAAGGTAGCACATTCCGACTTGCGAGATTTTAGTGGAGAATTTGATGGGCACTGAAACATCAAGAAAACCTGAAAAATTCATCTACCTACCTACCTACCTATCTAGAATTATTATGTCATATTGTTTCTCAAATATATATTCTTCATAGCCTTTTCTCACATAATACTCAACACCATTTAAAATAAAACATTCAGTCACTGTAATGCTACTTGTAGCAAGTATTCATCAACGCCCAGAATTCCCCAGCCAGCATGTGAGCTGGGGAATTCTGGGAGTGGAAGTCCACACATCTTAAAACGGCCGAGGTTGAAAAACACTGCTGTAAATAAAAGAAGAGTATCCGCACGGCATGGTAAAAAAAAGTCAAGATGGCGGGCGTCATGGTGTGACCAAAGCGTCTCCTGTTTTTCATTTGCAATGCAGGAGGAGCTTCAGTTGCACCGTCATGCCTGCCATCTTGACTTTTTCCACCATGCCCTGCAGACACCCCTGAAATAAAGCCAGAAAAAAGTCATTATTATGACTCGGCCCAGCATGCAAAATAAACAAACATTTAATCCCATTTAATTGGTATCAAAGGAGGAGATTTCTAAAGTAGAAGAAAGTATTAACTCCTTAGGGAACAAATAGTTCAGCCACTCATCTTTTCAATTTTACCCATTACCAGCTTCCAGTACATTCCTGAACCGTGTAACTGTGGACAATAATTAACCCCTCTGGAGCGATAAGGTCTGGAATTAAAAAGACAAGACACTAATGGCCTGGGGGGGAAAAAAGCCTAATAAATATGGATACGGGTCACCCTCCCAACTGACATCTGAGCAGAGGACTTTGTGAAAAAGGGCTGTAAAAACAGGTTGCAATGTCTCATTTGTACCCAATATTGCAACCGTTTAAGTGCTTTGCCTACATTATTACAACTGACTTAATGTTAAATATATCCAAGCAGTTTGGGTTAGACACATTGCCTCTTGAACAGATTATATGCACTTTCATTTGCACTTGAGTGAAAATTAATTTTCCTAATTAAAAATGATAGGTTTGCCCTTGTTAGACAACATTTGATCTTTAAATTCTGGCATACTTTATCGAGTTGCCCATTAAAAGACTATTCCCTGGGTAGTTTATAAATTGGAAGAAATAAGCATTGTAAAATGTAAATGGAATATTTTTCAAAGAAAGAAAAAAACAAAAGTGCAACATTAGGAAAAGAAATACATTCATTCCATTATAACAGAGGCAGCCTAAAATAATTAGCATCTTAGAATCAAAGGAGTGTTCAAGAAGTTGGTGTGAATCAGGATGCAGCCACACCTGATGGAGTTACAGCTCACAAAAGCTTATGCCTTTTAATAAAATTGGTTAGTGGGGAAAGGTGCTACCTGACTCCTCCTGATCTGCAACTGATGAGAAGAGGAGCCCATATTGAAGTTTTTTGTTTTTTTCGCTCTTGCTGTCTAAATATACAGCAAGATTGCTGTTTTATTTGACGTTCTCCCCCAGTTTGGTCCCCTCTGAGAAATAAAGGGTGCCAGGAGGTAGACGCTGGTGATACGACTTTCTCGGCCTATAAACCCTTGTGAAACAATAAAGGCGTTGTGATAAAACATTGGATCTCCAAATCTCTTTCGCACTTCCCTAAAAACAGTCAATCTTGATTCAGATTTCCCTTCCCTGGCTATCAGCCCATTTGGAGCCAGTTTTCAACCTGAAAAACAGTCTGGAGGGAAATGTTACTGATTGTCCCCAGTATTGTGAGCCTAACCCAAATCGGATCTTTTTAGGGAAATTAAAACAGACCCTTTGAACCTCCTCCGAAATTTTGCTTGGCAAGGAAATCCGCGGTGAACCCCAGCAGGACTTTTACTAACTGAATGCCCCAGCGCTCACAGAGCAGTATCAGTCCAGTGTTACCTCCCATGGAGAATGCTGCTTCTACGTACCCAGAGACCAGTGCCAATGACCGCAAGGAAGTAGAAGCAGATGACAGAAATGTCTGCTGCGTTGCTGATGGCAGTCATTTTAGGGGTAAGGACTGGTGATTCCACCTCCATGATGCTGTAAGCGCCAGACGTTCCACAGCCAAAGGGGCAAAGCTAAATAACCCTCTTGGACCATTCTTCTGAAGAACTTTCACGTGTGGTTAATAACCAACTTAGTCACGGGTTGGATGTGCAATTAACTTAGAGTGTATGGGGGGGGGGGGGGGGGGGGGGATGTGAGAAAGGGCAACGCCCAGTATCTTGGTTCAACTTGCCTCCCCCCTCTTTTTGTAGCCAGAAGATGCATAGTAGGCAGATGTCAACAGGCAGAGCATTCCTTGATGCAAAACGTCACGTCTTGGTTTGGACGAGCACACGGTGGTTTGACATGTTCTAGCTTGTGTCCTTGACACCAAAAACAAATGTTTAGTACATTAGAACTTTCCTGCAAAATATTTTGTAAATACCAGTTTGTTCTGATGAATTTTAGGTAAAAGTTAGTTAACTTGAGTTAAGCCTTGTCCACTCCCTTTAGACCAGGGTTCCTCAACCTTGACAACTTGAAGACGTGTGGACTTCAACCCCCAGAATCCCCTAGCCAGCAACGCTGGCTGGGGAATTCTGGGAGTTGAAGTCCACACGTCTTCAAGTTGCCAAAGTTGAGGAACCCTGCTTTAGATGACCAAGAGCACGGATGGAGAATGGTGACTCTCCACACCTCCAACTAGCATGGACATAGGGAACTGTCAATTAGCCACATCCGGAATGCTCCCAAGTCATCTTCTCTAAACACAGCACAGGCCTTACCATGGGGCAGAGCAAGGCAACTGCCTTCAGGTGGCATATAGTGGCATAACTGCAGGCTATTTCTTCTGATTACCCCACCTCGCTCTTGGCCACATGGCATCTACAGATGCACTGAGCTGCATCAGACCTAAATTAATAGAAAGTGGCCTGCCCCAACCTTCAGAAGTTATATTCCTATTCTTTTTAACATTTATTTTTATCAGTGGCATTCAACAAAGGTAAAAATGATACAACAATGATGATACAGTTAAAATGATATATAATAGTGATGAAAGTAAACTGAAACTTTAATAAGAAAAAAAGAAAACAGTTCATGTCATATTAACATACAACTTGCTCACTCCTAGATAGGTAGGTAGGTAGGTAGGTAGGTAGGTAGGTAGGTAGATAGATAGATAGATAGATAGATAGATAGATAGATAGATAGATAGATAGATAATTCCCCTCTCACCCCTATGGGTGGTCTGTGTCTTCAATCTTGGGTCCTCTACCAGAGGCCTGGGAGTTGGAGGGTCCTGCGCAGAATCTTAGCCGTTCCCAGCACTGCACTCTTCCGGACAGAGAGCTGGGATGTTGTTCCTGGGATCTGTTGGAGCTCAGGAGTCACAGACCCGAGTGCTCCTACCACCACTGGGACCACTTTGGCCTTGACTTTCCACATCCTCTCTAGT